GACGGAGTGCGACGTGACCGGCATGCGTGTGAGCGCATCTCAGACGATAAGCCTAGTGCTTTCTCGTTCTCCTGCCCGTTGCTCTCTTCAGATTACCGGAGAGGCAGTTTTGCAGATGGAGAAGTTCAAGTACCTCGGAAATGTATTTACTAGTGATGGAAAGTTTGAGGAAGAGATCGACCGGCGAATTGGAGTAGCCAGTGGCATTCTGCGTGAACAGGCTTGATCCACTGTGGCTAAAGGAGAGCTCAGTTCTAAAAACTTTTGCTGCTGTAAAGGGCGTCACTTGTGAGAAGTGCGAATTGCTGTGCCAACAGCTCAAACAAGATACAATCGGTGCCGCAGAAAATATACATGAAATAAGCGAAGGGACGAAGCACTCCTGGGTCTCAGTCGAAATCCTCTCTCTTCGCCAAAGAGGAAACACGGACACGGCGAAGCAGGGGTTCTGTAAGAACCCTGAAGGGAAGAAAGCGATAGTATTGGCATCTCTTGAATGCAGTCAGCAGGAGCTACCTCTGCGACAAACCGCTGCTTAATGAAACTCGAAGCGCAAAGGCTGGAACACACTGAAAAATCGGCATCATCACCAATGGCGACGAACGCAGGCCCCTCAACTTGTCTGATTCACAGCAAGTCCAACGACACCCTCCCAGATTCAAACAGCCATTGGAGGAGATGAGCTGAACACTTCGAAGAGCTCCTAAACCAGCGCGCTCTACTGGGTGATCTGGAAACAGAGTTCGAAGACCCGGGAGAACTTAAAATTGACGGCTCTGTCCCATCGAAAGGTGAAAGGCGAAATACCGTGCATTTCTGTTGAATTTCAAAATGATACCGGCAGGAGAAGATTATTGCAGAAATTTAGAAATGCCCAACAAAAATTTTGCTGAACTGGATCCAGCTGGTTTTTGACAGCATCTGGTGGAAGTTGGAAATCTTTGAGAAATGGAAGCAGCACTTAATCAACCCATATTCAAATGTGAGAATTGTTCGGCCTGCGCCAACTACCGTAGGATCATGCTTCTGTCTGTGATGGGAAAGGTATTCGCGCGAACCCTCCTTTGAAGACTGAAGAACGCGGCTGACGATTCCCTTCGAGGAAACACTCAACAGAGTTTCGAATTGCACACTCGTGTACAAACGGTCTATGACGATTCGGCGCGAGGCGTTTCGGAACTGATCGATAATCGTTATCAACGTGCAGTCCTGAGACGCGTGTTTGATTTTATATACTTGGACTGTAGTCATTTCGATCAAATGCAATATATATTCCCTCACCACGTTAACAAAACAGTGAGCATAGTGTGAAACTTCTGTCAAAGTAATGATGATGTTATACATTGTTTATAAAATTTTGCTCTATGCATAAAATTAGCTTATATATCAGTCCATTGTTCTTCCATAAAAATTTGACTATAATTTGGCCGTCCCCTGGGCCTTCTACCGGTCGGATTTGCAAGGACTAAATCATATTAACAAATTTAATTTTGTGAAATAACTGGGCAACGCAATGGTCCGCTCCAACTCAACTCTGGAAAGAAACAAAGAATAAAAATTTTGTCACACTACTGATGCCCTTGCGCATGTATAACATGGAATCATGATAAGCAACAGAAATATTGGAAATTCATAAATTTGACAATGGATTCATATTTTGCTTTCAGTGAGCTTTCCATTGATATGCAAATGATAAGATATCGCAGAGGCCATCAGTTAG